CCCCCCCCCCCCGTCGCCCCCCCAGCTCTCGGTCCGTTGTCGTGTATTGGCCTAGGCCGTGCTGCTTGCCATCCTTCCAATAGCCCTCGTACCTCAGCGTGTCTTGAAGTCTGGGCTCTGGCAGCCCAGATCCCTTCCACGGAAGGATCTGTGTCTGCAGACTGCAGAGTGACTTCGATCCTACCGGAATTCCGTGTCAGACCGAGGCGCTTTCGACCATCTGGCCAACCTGAGAGCAAAGAGCATTCCGCTAAAAATGTCGCTGGGAGTTTTCACTGCTCCTAAGAGGCTTAAAACACCACTGCAAGCGCCGCGCGGAAAACTCCGAAGCCATGCTTCTGGTCGCTCACGTACTCGCCGCCGTACCTTCAATTCAACAAACGCAGCTTTCCTTGTCCCGATTCCCCCTCCCCCCACCCCCCGGCGCTGTCTCCCTGGCGCACTGTCGCCCGCCGGGCCAATCCTCGAAGAAGACTGCAGCTGAGAGACAGAAAACCTTGAGCCCGTGCAAGGCGCGACGGCGACTTGGCCGGGGGCATACTTTCCCACACCGTGGATCATGGAGTCCTGCAAGCTGGCTTCTTGCTTTCGAGACACCGCCACACACAGTCACCGGTCCGACCACTGCCCTTTGAAAGTGCGACCGTCGCTAGCGACGTAGAGGCCTCGCTTGTTCTTTTCGTGTCTCGCTCATCGAATTCCAGCTTCTAGGCTTGTGTGATGCGCTCATGTCAACCAAACCACGACTCACCAACCTGCGCCATCGATCACGTTGTCACGCCAGGCTCCTCTGTGACTCAGCACATCGTCGGCAGCAAGAACGCGGAACCAACAAAGAGGCGTACATACACGTACATACCCACACCGGCCTTCATACTTGGAGCCGTCGGTCCAGTAGTAGATGCCTCCCGTGGAGACTCCGCCCACGCTCCCCCGCGCACGACAGGGCATCTCTCACGACCCGCCGACAGGAGAAGATCGGGAGAGCGGCCCGGCACCAGCTGAGCCCAGGACCGAAGCCTTCTTTCTGCCCTTCCTTGAAGCTTCCCTGCAAGACGAAAAGACACAGAAAGACGCAGAAAGACACACGATACATGCAAGTGCCACGGATGAAACACAGAGACCGGCGGATCTGATGGGCCTCGTAGCGGGCGCCCTCGCCCCAGGTCTCCACCCCAAAGCCATCCTCAAAACCGAAAGGCGGCGGGGGCACACGGCAAGGAGCAAGGCAAATAAGATGCAGTCGCACCTGCATGTCTTTCTTCCAGGAACCTTCATAGGTCGTACTGCCCTTGTGGTAGTACTTCCTGCAGGCTGCAAGGAATCACACCCTCCGCTGCTTCCATTCACACTCGCAAGTCGGAGCTCCCACATCCACTGGCCATGTTGTCTTGCCACTGCCTTGCTTCAGCTTGGAGCCAGCGAAAAGGTGCAGAACTTCCCTTTTTGGCCCGAGACCCGATATAGATGTCGCCATCACCTGCAAAGTGGCCAAAACATGAAGGCCAACAGTGAACCTGTACCGGTGAGCATAGCAACAAGGGGCCGAAGGCCGAGAGAACAAGCCAAAGCAGGCGGTGACAGAAGGGCACTGAAGTCTGACGGCTGCCGAGGGGCTATGCAGGAAGCGGCCCATTCCCTGAGCTTTGTTTGCCACCCACCTCAGAGAGAGAGAGAGAGAGAGAGAGAGAGAGAGAGAGAGAACCCTTTCCTGAAGACTAGGCGCCCCCAAAAAAACCCTGAGCAAGTGCAGGCAGTGGTTTCCTGAGATCTCTGAGCCCCACTGGCCGAAGTAACTCGCGCCGTCCGGCCAGGTCTGTTTGCCGATGCCCTCACGGACGCCGTTCTTCCATTGGCCCTGCGGCATAGGAAGGAAAACATGACTATCTTTACCCCAGAAGTCCAGGGAGCCTTGTAGACGGCGCCGGATCGGAACCTAGGATGCAAAAAGGGACCAAGCGAACAGCAGGAACAGCCCCAAGCTCTCCCGATAACAGAGTTGCCCCCATATGCTGCAGAGCCGCGTGAAAGGCTCTCCATCTCGCACGGTGGCTGCGCCAGCCTAGCCGAAGTCTCTCAAGTACCCAAGCAAGAGCCAGCAAGAGCCGGCAATTATATCCAAAATAATATTATGAAGATAATAATAGCACCTACAAAGTCTTTCGCCTGCATCTCGGAGAGCTGCGCTCGCTCTCGGTCGAAGTAGCTCGACTCCTTGCCGAGCTGACTGCTCGCCTGCAAGCGAGGCAGAGGGATCCGATGCGTTTCTCCGGTGTCGTGGTCGCCCCCCCCCCTCTCACCTCGGCCGTCTCCACGAACTTCCTTAGTTGCACCAAGGGGCCCATTCCTGGTGGAATTCTTTGAGGCCTTGAGGAGCCTCTGACACCAAGGCAAGGGCGCGTTGTTACCCTCGTCCGGGTCCTCGTCCGTCATTGCTGGCAAGCTCCTGTGGATGGTCGCCTCGGGCCGGGACGAAGCTCTGCTTCAGAAGAAAAGGACGCCGACATGAACCAGAGATCAACATGGCTCTTCTTCGGCTGCGCTCCACTCTTGGCCTCATTGCTCTCCGTGTGCTCATCGCATTGGCAGCAATTCTTCCTGGATAAAACAGCGAAGCAACACGAGACGAGCCGAACTAACAAAATGTACTGTTAAGACGAGATGACAGCCACAATGAAAAAATGATGGCATTCAAGTCTTTAGGGCGGCGTCTCAGCGCACCGTTTCTGAGGCCCTGGCTGCCCCATTTGAGCCAAGGCCTCTGTCGGGGTACGACCCTTCTTCGTTTCAAGGCACCAAGGAATGCCTTGCCCAACACAAACCAAGTCGCTCTCCTTGGCCAGGGCGTCGCCCTGCCGTCTCGAGCCAAACTGACGGAAACGGAAGTGTTCTGCTTGTCTGGGCATGTCATGTCTGCTAATCACTGATCATCGCATCATTGCTGGTTTGTTTAGGGTTTGGGGTTTGGGGTGTCAAGGAGTTTACGGCCATTTAGGTCAGGGCTTAGGATTGTCAAAGGTTCAGGGTTGGGGGTCGGGGTTTCGGGCTTCTTGGATTTGTACAGCCTTTGCAGTTTGGCTTGGTCAAGGTTCGAGGTTTAGGGGTTCTGATGAGATCCTACTGGGCGGGATCTCATACGTCCACGTGGTCTGCGGCTCACATGTGCACAGTTGGTGTTCGCACTATTTCAAGCTGCCCGGCGAAGATTTTTGAGACATTCCAAAGCTCTTGCTCGCAAGCACAGATAGCTGGAGTACCAAACAAGTTGTTTTATTTCACTCTTGCCGGTGCTTCTTCGGTATAAACCAAGCACGAGCTGGCAGGCATCAAAGAGCACACAAACGCATGCTTTATATCGTTGTTATCGTGTTGCTCATGGCGTTTTCAGATCATCACAATAGACAACTTGCAAAGTGTCGCTAAACCGTAAGCCTCTCAACCCTAACCTACACCCTGGAAAACCTAAACTCAAAAACCCTGCCCTAAACCCTAAACACCCAAAACCCTCAAAACCCGAGAATCCCTGAACGCCAAGAACCCTGTTAACACAATAGAATAAAATAACCTTGCCGTGAACCCTCCCTATACCCTGAACCCTCCTGAAACGCTGATCAAAACCACAAAAAAACCCTAAACGCCAGAACCCTGATTAAAACCAGTAAGCCTTCTACCCTAAACCCAAGGGCCCTGATTGAAAACTCTAAGCCAAACCCCAAAAAGCCTTAATCCCTAAACCCCAGAATGATTAAACCCCCTAAGCCCTAAACCCTAAACAGTGTCACCCTGAACCTCAGACCCTAACCCTCAACCCTAAACCCTAAACCCTAAACCTCAAACCCTCAACCCTAAACCCAAGACAAACTGAAACACTCGACCCTTAACCGCGAACCCTGCACTGTGAATCCTAAGACTAAACCCAAGAATCCTGATGTAAAGCCCTAAAACCTGGACCCGAAACCGTAAACCCTAAACTCTAAACCCTACACTCAGGAACCCTGCTGAACCACCCTAAGCCCTAAACCCCGAAAAACCTTGACTAAACCTGAACCCTAAAACCCGACCGAAGCCCCGAGCCCTAAGCCCAGGACCGCCAACCCTGCAAACCCCCAACCCCAGATGCCTGATAAATAAAACACGCGAAGTTCTGGACCCGAAAACCTGAAACCCTGAACCGAACCCTAGCCGGAAGCCCTAAACCCTAAACACCCAAAACCCTCAAAACCCGAGAATCCCTGAACGCCAACCGTGAACCCTCCCTATACCCTGAACCCTCCTGAAACGCTGATCAAAACCACAAAAAAACCCTAAACGCCAGAACCCTGATTAAAACCAGTAAGCCTTCTACCCTAAACCCAAGGGCCCTGATTGAAAACCCTCAGCCAAACCCCAAAAAGCCTTAATCCCTAAACCCCAGAAGAATGATTAAACCCCCTAAGCCCTAAACCCTAAACAGTGTCACCCTGAACCTCAGACCCTAACCCTCAACGCTCAACCCTAAACCCTAAACCGCAAACCCTCAACCCTAAACCCAAGACAAACTGAAACACTCGACCCTTAACCGCGAACCCTGCACTGTGAATCCTAAGACTAAACCCAAGAATCCTGATGTAAAGCCCTAAAACCTGGACCCGAAACCGTAAACCCTAAACTCTAAACCCTTCTGGACCCGAAAACCTGAAACCCTGAACCGAACCCTAGCCGGAAGCCCTAAACCCTGAACCCTGAACCCTAAAGCCAAGAACCCTGGTTGGAAACCCTAAGCCCGGAACCCCTATAGAGACTCTAGAATCCGAAGCCCCAAAGCCTAAAGTCCGAAACCCTGAACCCTGAACCCAGCCTTATACCCCTAATCCCTATACTAGCCCGACACCGCAAACCGTCCAGCGAATTCTTTTGACCAAGCCGGAAAACCATGTGCACAAAAGAACCCCTAGCCCAAGCCGACTCATGTTTCTGTATGAGGATATGACTTACTTCTTGTTATCGGCTGTTCCGAATCACCGAATCACCCCACAACACCCTGTAATAAGACAGAGGGAGCAAGCAGCGGTCAACATCTTCTTGGGCTCACTTTTGGCGGTCACATCCACGCAGGCGGCCGGTGCGAAGCAGGCGCTGCGCACGGCATCCCTGTGGCCCTCGAGCGTCCGCACCAGCTCCCCAGTCCGAGCATTCCAGATCTTGGCGGTTCCTGGCACAGCGTTTCTGAAAGACGCTTCGCACGGACGCGACGCAACGCGACGCACGGACACGACCCTAGGGCACCGTCGTAGGAGCTGCTGACGATCCAGGCCCCATCCGGAGAGAAGGTCGCAGAGGTCACCGAGTTCCCGTGCGAGAGCTCCAATCGGAGGGCCCCGCTCAGATCCCAGACTTGCGCAACGTGGTGGATGCCTCGGAGTTCCCCGCCATCAGCGGAAGCCATAACAAAAGCGGGGTCCCTAAACGACTTCTAGTAGCTCATGGCTCAAGCATGAAAAGGATCCCCCCAAGCTCCCCCCCCCCTCCCAAACTCACAACAGCTCCTTTTGTCTTTTATTCGCCCAGACTTTGTCGGAGCTGCTGGCCGAGACGAGGCTGCGGCCATCCGGAGAGAAGGCCACGTGCACCTCTCGGGAGTTTGAACTCCGCCCGCCAAGACCCAGAGAAAAAATCCTGGAGACTTCCTAAATCAGAGGAGGTCCAGCACTCTGAGAACAGAGGCCTAAAGCTCTTTCCCCAGTCCCCCCCACCAGTGTCTGTCAACGAGGCGCCTTCGACTTCTGATCCGGGCCCGTGAGAGAAGCCCGGCAGTGGCCGGAGTCGGCCTGCGGTGGGGTAGAAGACCGAACGAAAGGGAGGAATTGAAGGGGGGGGTTTAGGTTTTGGGGTTTAGGGGCAAGATCACCCGAAAGAAAGGGAGGAAGGGGGGGGGGGGCTTCGTGCAGTATGCAGGCGGTTGTGGTTTACGTATGGTACAAGTTTTTTGAATTTATTGGGGGGCCCTTTTGGCTTTTGGGAGTACGAGTTTGGGGACCGAGCGGCCCACCAAAGGTGCAGCTCACCGTTCCAGCAGGCCGTCGCGACCGTGGAGCCGTCGGGGGACACGGAGGCCGACAGGACCGCCTCAAGTCGGCTCAGAGGCCCGGAGGCCCCAAAAGAAGAGCCGAGAGGAGCCGCTGCTCTGGCTGCTCTCTCTGCTTTTTCTGTCTGGTGCTTTGTGGGGAATGGGGGAATGGGGGTTATAGGGACTACTATAAGGGACCTTAAGGGACTATCATTGGGATCCACTCCCCATTCCCTACTAAGCACCAGACAGTTTTCTGCTGGCAAAGGGCGGAGCTGTGGGGCTGGAAGGTCCTCACGAGCTCCCCGGTCTCCACGGACCAAAGGAGGGCGCAGTCTTCCCAGGAGCAGGCGGCCAGCACCTGGGCAAAACCAAAACTTTATAGAAGGACTCGAACTGACAAGGCTTCCCCTACCGCCCGGTTATGAGGCGCACCTCTCCCTTCAGAGTCACACGCGCCCGGGGCGGTACAAGCAAAAGGCTTCCGATTCCCCTGGCCAAGCACCATGGTCCCGTCGGGTGTGAAGCCGGCACCCGCCAGCTCGTAGCCCGCCAGCACCCGCACACAAGCCTCGGCGACGAGCAGAGGCATGCCGCGCTGAGGTGAGGTACGTGACATGAGAGTCCGAGAGATGGGGTCTGGGGTGAAAGGAGAGCAGCGCTGAGGTCAGCTGGCAAAGTCTTAGCGACACGTGGTCTTGGGCAGCTGACGTCGGATTGTGTTCAGTTGGGATTCACACGAAGACAGACCTGAAACTGGAGAGTGAGGCTCCCTCCGTCTCCTACTAAGCTTGGTAAGCCGGATGCTGCTGATGTCAAGCCGAGACTGGAATGTCAGAGAGCAGCAGGGCAACACATACAGCATGGAAGGGCAGAGCATCACATGACAACACAAGCTGTCCTGCATCACGGCATGGTGTGTGTGTGTGTGTGTGTCGTGCTAGTGTAGAGTGTTTCTATCGCAGATTTTGCTACAGGCGAACTGTCGCTGACTGCAATCGCAGAAATAAGGCGGGCGGCCCCAGTCTGGGCGCACCAGATGCGGCCGGTGTTATCGTGGCTAGAACTCGTCACCACCAATCGATCGTCGGGTGCAAAGTTGCCTGACCTCTCAGGTCAGGACAAACGCTCCTTCAGAAGTCTCCGCACGGTCTTAAGGCTGCTGAGAAACACCACGGCGCCGGTATGCCCGATGAGACTCACCTGATACACCATTCACTAGAGTCGAGAAGAGGAAACCGTTTAGATCACCGCTGCTGCATGCCGCTTGATCCGCTCCCGTGAGCTTCGGCCTCGACGTCTCCGTTGAGGCTCCAGATGCGTCCCGTCCAACCCGAGGTCGTCAGGACCTCGGCTACACAGCCAGGGGCGCAAGCCAGGAGTCTTCGCCCTTCCGCGCCTGCTGTGCCGAGTGGGAGAAGCTGGCGGAGAAGACTGCATCCTCGTGCAGGAGCGTCTGCAGACCTCGGTGAAAAGAAGCGCAGGCCAACTCTTCCCGAACCCGGGTCGCTCTCCGAGCGGCACTGACCGGTGTCCGCCCGGAAGATCTTCACGGAACCGTCGTGCGAGGCCGTGGCGATGAGGCGGTCCCCCTTCACGACGAGCACAGACTCCTCGAGCCCCGCCTGAGAAGTTCTCCTCAAACTCAAATAAGACGGGCTCTTGCACCTGTTTTCCTGAAACCTCCGGAGCTGAAAGAGAAGGAGTCCCGAGAGGAGCTGTGCCGAGCCACAGCCACCAGTGTCTGCCCAGTCGCCGGCACGGAGCCCTGCAAGTCCGGAACTGCAGGAGGCACCCCCAAACCCGCCCCTCTTCTCTCGCACAGACATATCTTGCGCCGCCCGCCTCAAGCACCAGCCGGAAGTCGACGACCTGACCTCCCACAGAGTTGGAGCCCACAGGGAAAGGGGGGCAGAAGTGTGGGTCCATGTCCATGGAGGAGGGGCGTGGGAGAACTCCAGAGCTCTCCAGAGCTCGCAAAGGTTTAGAAGTGTGGGTCCATGTCCATGGAGGAGGGGGGTGGAAGAACTCCAGAGCTCTCCAGAGCTCGCTCTTAAGCTGCACAGAGCGAAGACTCCCAAGCCTCCCCGCAGGCTCCCCGCTCCCCCCCCACCTGACCTGTGGCTTGCGCGAGCTGCCGGCTTAAGCCGGAGGCCGTGGCGCCCTCGCTCTGAGGAACCCGGAAGCGCCCGAGCCACTCGCCTCCCCGAAGACCACACACCAAAGAACGGACACGCTCTCTACTGTAGGCACTCTATATAGGCCTGGAGAAGAAAAGAAACACGCACTTACACACTGTTCTAAAACCTTCCCGGCGGATCTTCGCTTCAACCCGCGCGACTCGCGTCATTCTGTTCGCTCCTGTGAGCGCCAGGCGGGCCGAGAGCTCCAAGGACTCCTCTGCCGCCTCCGCCGCCTCCGCCGCCTCCGCCGCCTCCGCCATGACCTCCGCGGCCCTCCGAACGCCGCCTGCCGCACCTTCGGGTCCGCGGCGCTTCCATGGCTTCGAAGAGGCCTCCTCGAAGCCTTGCGGAAGCCCCAACGCCTGAGCCGAAAAGAGCGCCCAAAGAAAGGAGAGAGAGAGAGAGAGAGGCCAGCCAGGCCAGCAGGAGAGGAGTGCCAGCAGCAGAAAAGGGCGAAAACCACACCGGGGCGGGAGGCGGAGGCGGAGGCGCAACTTCTCACTCTTCTTCCGGCTCCGACTCAGCGACTCAGCGACTCCGGCGAGTTGGCTCCGACTCCTTCGCAGTCGAACCGCCCCGCCCCTAGCCATCAAAATCTTCCTCAGAGAGGCTGTTCTGCCCCGAGAGCACGAACCCCGCGCATCTTGCGCCGCCTCCTTAAGATATATATCGTTAGCAGAGCTGCGAAAAGCGCCACGCATGTGGTGGCATATAAAGGGCCAGGCCCGCAGCAAAGGATCCCCGGCCGACCCTTCCCGGCCGCGGCCTCCCCACCAGCTGGTGTGGCGGGCTGAGACCCGCTAGCGACTGCTAGCGACTAGCGACTCTAGACTCTAGCATTCTAGCTGACTCGCGCGCCCGCGCGCGCGGGGCACGCGCGCGCGCGCGCGGGGGGACGACCCCAACCTAACTAGGGTGAAAAGGTGATGAAGGCGAAGGGCCCGAAGACGAGCCCAGTCACGTATGTCCATGGCTTGGCACCATTCATGTCAAACTCCCACTCCTGTGGTGACCAGGGGAGGGAGGTGCAAACAGCTCTTGGCACCAGGCCTCGAAGCCCCACTGAAGTTGCCCGTCGCTCCAGGCTGTGCTGGTGGTGCTAAAACCGCCGGCGAAGCCGGTTGTGCCGGCACTGCCGCGCGTTGCGCCGGCAGAGGTGCTGGCAGTGCTGGCAGAGCCGCCAGCAGAGCCGCCAGCAGAGCCCGTGCCGGAGATGACGGTAGCAGAGGTGCTCACCACTCCTCAAAATCCAAAACTTCTACGAGTACTATGGCGACATTCGTAGGACAGGGTATTTCTGGTGCGCACATGGCTCCCTCTTTGCTCCGGCCTCCGTCGGTGCCACTGGGAGCGGCTGTGGGGGCGGGCGTGGTACTTCTCGTGGTCGTGATGCTTCTCGCGGTCGTGGTGCTTCGCGTTCTGGTCGTACTCGTGGACGTCCTCAGCTGATTCCGACGCAGCAGATGCCTTCACATCTTAAAAGTACCGACCCGGGTCATCCTCGACATGCCCTCAAGGTTCCAGGACTTGGTAACAGTCGTGGTGGCAGTGATGGTGGCGCTTGTCCGGGTGGTAGCTGTCTTGGTGGAGGTTGTCTGTGTCAAAGACGACGAGGTGATGCTCGTGAGCGTTGCAGAGGACGAAGTGCCTGCGCACGCCCTTGCTGCTGTGGCGACGTGAAGTATGCAATGTGGTTTCGGTTCAGACGGGGCACTTGTCGTTCTCGTGCTGGTCCGCGATGTCGTGGCGCTGCCTCAGCAAAAGCAGTGAAGCCAACCCTCAAGTCATTTGCTGCGGCTCTTGTACGACTCCTCGGTGAGGCGCTGGTAGTGGTGGTGGAAGACTTCGACGCCGTTGTCGTTGAAGTGATGGAGGTCGTCGAGGTTAAGGTCGAAGACCTTCGAAAAAGAACCATGAGCGCAGCGCGGCGCCCGCTTTGAGGACTGCGCGCTTAAGCGAGGCGTGTTCCTTCGCCTTCCACGCCGAATGCTCCTTCCCCATTAAAGGGCCCACGATCGTGGGCACTGAGCCAGGCCTCGAAGTGGTACTGGAGGTGGTCTGCGAAGTGGTACTGGTGCTGGTGGAACTCAGAGAACTGCTGCTGCTGCTGGTGCTGCTGAGAGTTCTCGTTGTTGTCGTCGTGGTCGTCGGCAATCCTGTGCAAACAGGCTCGCGAACCCAAGCAGTTCACTGCCGCATCCCTTGTGGTGTTTGGTACCGCAGCCGTTCGCATACTGGCACGCGACACATTCCACATGCACGCATGTGAATGTATGTATGTCTGTATGTATGTATGTGTGTATGCATGTCTGGATGTCTGTATGTATGCATGCATGCATGTATGCACGCATGCATGTATATAGAGCTCCGTTGCAGCGTACCACATGTAGTAAATGTTAAAGTTCCGGCCATCCTGCAATACAACATGAAGACACTCCTTTCTTCTCCACGTAACAAAGATGGAAAACCTGCTGTTTCCATTGTGCTTTAGAGCGAAAGTAAGAAAACTATTGAATCACAGCTGACCTTGACTTGTAGGAATATGAAGCGAGTATGACAACTAATTTGAACAACATGTTTTCCACCGATACTACTAATCTTACCATTCCTGTTACGATGACTCTGTTTACGTTGCTCATCCTGGTTGATGAAGATGCCGCCAGGATCAAAAATACCCAAAATTCTAAAACACCTCCGCAAGTATCCAATTCTATAGGGCATCAGTTTTCAGTTTTTGGTGAACGTCTGGAATCTCGGGATTGATCCCTGTCGCTGCTTTGGCATCTGAGGTTGCCCAAATGCTCCAAGCTCCAATTTCCCCAAAATTTGTAAAGCCTGAAAAACATCGGCAGCGATCAAAGCTCCCAAAATCCTAGCATGTATAAGGCCGTCAGTGTTCAGTTTTGGTAGGCAAGTTGATCCCTGCTGATGTTTTCGCATCCGCAAATGCCAACATGCTGCCAGGCTCCAGTTTCCCCCAAACTTGGACAAGATTGGCAGCGATCGAACCTCCCCAAAACCCTTAAAATCTTCGTATCGTACTCGAATGTACTCGAGCGTGCTCGATCGTATGCGCGAGTACTCGGAGTGCCGTCGCCCAGCGCGGGCGCAATGAGAATCTTGGTGCTCCATCCCTGCCGAGGTTTTCGCACTTTAGGTTTTACAAAGTTCGGGCAATCATGCATGAGGGGGGAGGGTGTTCATAAATGTATGTATATATATATATATATATATATGTGTGTGTGTGTGTTTATGTGAATATATGTGTATATATGTTTCTATGTATATTTATTTATGTATTTATTTATCTATTTATTTATTTATTTATATATGTGTATATATATGTATATATATATATATGTATAAATATACATGTATATATATATATGTATATATATATATATACATGTATATATATATATATATATATTTATTTATTTATTTATATTTATATATGCATATACGTATAAATATACCTATATGTAGGGTGAGACGAATTCGTTGCTAGAGGCGCGTCGCACCGACCCAAGCCTTCCCGAAGAAGAAGATATGTATACATATATGCGTATATATATATATATGTATGTATATATATATATATGTATGTGTATGTATATATATGTTTGTATATATATATATATATATGTGCATTTGTTCTTTTATATAAGCGCAAGAGGGGCCCAGAGTAAGCACCTAGGGAAGGCTTCGCCCATGGCCAAAGTTGGGGCCACAGCCTGTAGGGGCGATCTTTTGGCCAGAAGCATAGCCATCCATCCATCCATGCATGCATGCAGCACATTACACACCGGTTCACAATCTTTTGCGATTACTTCTTACAGTTTACAACATTTGCACATGCCTACATGTCTATATCTGGAGTGTATATATATATATATAATACAC